TTGTTAAAGAATTCAGTTCTGGATCCGTATCCAAGACATGTCTGGATTGATCAAGTTCAAACTTCACACACACATGGTACATTATGTCACAAATAGATATGTGCATTTGTTTCATGATCTGCTTACAAATAGCGGAATGATGGCCATTTTAAGGCCGAAAATGCATCAAAATCACATATTTTCACAATTCCAGAACCGGATCTCAGTCATGCATGGATGGATTTTGTTCAGATTTAGCACAATGTGTTGTACATATGCAGGTGCATTTCGGTCATGATCTGCTTTGAATGTATATGTCACTCAAATATGAACGGAACGGGGACGTGTCATTGACAATGACTTGTTTAAATATAAACTACGGTGCTATTTAGGTTGCTATTTCGAATATCTTAATTATAAACTACGGCGCTATTTATTTAGCTATTTAAAATATTTTAATTATAAACTACGGCGTTATTTATTTAGCTATTTAGAATATCTTAATTATAAACTACGACGCTATTTAAGTAGCTATTTAGAATATCTTAATTATAAACTACGGCGTTATTTATTTAGCTATTCAGAATATCTTAATTATATACTACGGCGCTATTTATTTAGCTATTTAGAATATCTTAATTATAAACTACGGCGCTATTTATCTATTTCGAATATCTAAATTATAAACTACGGCGCTATTTATTTAGCTATTTAGAATATCTTAATTATAAACTACGGCGTTATTTATTTAGCTATTTAGAATATCTTAATTATAAACTACGACGCTATTTAAGTAGCTATTTAGAATATCTTAATTATAAACTACGGCGTTATTTCTTTAGCTATTTAGAATATCTTAATTATAAACTACGGCGACATTCAGTTTGCTATTTAGAATATCTAAATTATAAACAACAGCGCTATTTAGAAACGATATATTGTGACTTTGACATTATTATTTTTCGGACCCAATTTTTGCACGTTTGTCCCCCATAAACAGTGTTCTTTGAAGATTTAACGGTTTGTTCACAATAATATTATATTGCAGGTAAACAAAATACAAAATGTATTAATACATATTTCAAACTTACACATTTTACAATATACACCGACTTGTATTGTAACGCATGGCCTTAAGCACATGAGAGAAAATACATTTCTATTTGATTGGTGTTAGTTTGGCCTTTAAATCAGACAATAATAATTTTTAATTTTTTCAATTTTCAAAAGTTTGTGTATGTACAGTGGCTCGAAATGAGATGTTATCTGTTTCACCATGTTGTCTACCGTTGATGCTGAGAGAAACATCTAATACTTTCTTACTTTCACAAAGTGCTTGAAGTTTATGTTGAGAAAATTGTTTTAATCGAGACGCATTTAATATGTGGTTACGTAATACCCTCTATGCATTAAATATAATTTAAATCTAGTCTTACCTAACCACGAATTGATATAATACAGCACTGATTGCTATCACGCATGCATAGAATAATTGATATGCAAATAGTGAAACTATTTATTATATCGCAGGGGTTAATGTCTGCCTAATCGCCGTGTTATCCAGCACTATTACCCTATCATTGTAGACGTGTAATTCCCCACCTGCAGATCCTCTTGATGCCTAACAGTGCAGGCTGTGTGGGTTTTTACCTTTAAACTTTGCAAAGCCTACTCTGTCAAATTTCCTTCAACCAAAATCGATCAGTCTCACTAATTTGTGTGTATATGCCATAGCATAGACTGGATCTGATTGGTTTGCGTCATGCTTAGCTCTCACCTCATCTCGACTAGCACTATTAAGGTTTGTACCAATTGTACCAACATCCTTTCAATATTCATCACACATCCTGGAAAACCTGCATAAGTACAACCCAGCTAAAAAATAATAACCAATCAACACTACGATGTGTAACATGATATTCCACCGGTCCCTCAATATCTACATTACTAGGCTCCAACTTAAGCTAACATAGCTTCGCACGCTGTTGCACAAGTCTCTGTAATTCTAGATTCCCTAATTACGATGTAACTCTATTTGCGCATACAAAGGGTAGGACAAAAATATAAAAACTTAAGTCAAAAGACAACAATAGATATGCAACCTAGAAGAAGACCGCGGCATATTTCAAACAGTGTTTTAAAGATCATAGTATAGTGAGTGTGGGTGAGTACAAACGCGGGCAGCGAGAAGAACTGAGAAACGTAGATTTTCAGTTGAAAAAGATTTTCAACTCCCAAAATACCCGCAAAAAATATGAAAATAATTTGCATGCTCGTTATTCTTGCTTAGGCAGAATAGTGTGCCACGCAATATGCGCAAGCGCATAAATGATGAACGTGCAACGTGGTGACCATGAATACAGTGTCCACAAAGACAACACATAATTTGCCGTTCATCATCAATTTCTGACTGGGTGCCGTAAAATCAGTTCCTTCAATAACACCAACACCCTTAGGTAGGACTTCACCGGATGAGGAGTGTTGCGGTCAGGTCCAACTGAAGAATGCCACCATCAAGAAGCGGGAAAGTCTCAATTTTCAATTTGCCTCAACTGGCAAGCAGGTTCAAGTACGCTAATATGCATGCAGAACACCTTTTTGGACCGTTCCGGTACTGTACAAGAACTAGAGAGATATTTCCCGGAACTGCGGATGAGCACTGTGGAGAAGGCCTTAAATTGAAATAGGAAAAACGTCCAGGTTCCACTGAGACTAAAATATCAATACATAGCACCAATTCAATAGGAATATTATACCACTAGTTGAAGAAATAATGTGAATGTCATCTCTCTTATTCACTTGTACATTTAATGCAAAATATATTAGTGAGGTATTTAGTTGATAACCACCAACATATAACACATATAATTAACAGCCATATTTAAAGTAATACAATAAAGTGTAAATATGTAATTAATGATAATTATTCTGAACAATAGTGGGTGTTGAACTCGATATGGCAATATGGGAAGTTGTTCGATACCGTAGAATCATCTGACGATACCTATTAATATTATCGCCCTCTCCTATGCATAGTTACAATGAAATCAACAAGTGGTTTCTTTGTCGGTACTTTTTGTATATTACGTGGTTGTTTATTTCACGATAATAGTATGCAACGAAAGCTGTTACTATTACTACCCGGGTGCAGCCTGCGGTTCCCATGTCCGTCTTTGTGTTTACATTACTAATAAACTGCCCCGGGCTCATTAAATAACGAAATTTTCATTAGAAAATTGAGAACATGCAAACCATATAAAATTCACCACAGTGTCTGCGATGTAATGTATGTTGTTCCATTACAAAGTTACTCGCAATGACGTCACGAGTACTCATTGTTAATTATTCCCTCACGCCTATGACCTATAACACCCAAGACTGAAATCTGAAGAAGCTACTTGTGTTTTAGTCAATCGAACATGGTTATAGAACGTGCTACGTTGCAGAATGTCTCACCGTTCTGCGTTCACACGTTTTACACACAATATATGCATCTACGGCAGCTCTCATGGGCACCTCTGAGCTCAAAGTGCTATCACAAAGATGTACTTGAGTGTCGTCCAAAGATTGATACTGAAGTACATCTATAGAACTGGCACAAATACTGGCCAAGCTCCCTCCGTGAACACTATGAACACTCTTTCACCCTTTCAACTTGCCCCGTGTCGCATTAAAGTCGCCATACATGTCGATGTTATTATACCCGTAATGTATTGAACTTCCTGTTGTAAATGAAACCCTGATACGTTATTTAGTACATTGCATTCATATATTGATAAAGCCAATACAGATCGTGTACACAACTTAACATTTATAACCGGATTACGATATCGTACTTCAGCGTACTTACTGTAAGTTAAAACCAGCACGATTGTTGTGTGACCTCAGTGACCTTTGTAGCCTTCTGTAAACAACACCACTCACGCAAAGAATAAGCTTGTTAATGCGGTCGCTAGTGGCGATAGTTAACAAGGAACCGATAATAATAATACCATGGGTAGTACCTCACGACCCGGCAGAAGCAAAACAGGAAATTATATTTATTTATAATATCCAATTAAAAACTACAGCGTGTCACAAGTCATGCCATATTAATTGTCGATATTTTTATGAAGTTGATTAATATTTAATTTATTTCTGTTATATGAACAACCTGTAAAGTTTTTACTCGGAAAGTGTAAAAATAACCGAAGAATTTGACGTTTTAACCCACGTCAAATTCGCGCCCAACTAACATACTAAAATACCTGTGGGTGGGAAAACATGAAAGGCGGCAATGCAGTGCTACGTCTAGAAATTTGAGGGATTTGAACATATTCTCCCTTAGCCTGAAATATTGAGGTTACCGAAACCCTCGGCGCGGGACTACATTTTACAGTACTCCCCTCATCTGCCTACCACTCGGTTCGTGATTGAAAACACTGGCAGGCGTATTATTATGTGTTTGGTATTTTAAGGATTGGATTGTTTATTCCTGTATGGGACTAGATGTGCAGCTCTGGTAATTGTTGTTGTTATGAATACCACGTGACAATCATGCCCCTTCATGGTGACTCCGTCGTATATCACGCATTATAACTCGAGCATTGGTGCCGGGGAGCCCCCCTTCCAACTCCACCATACCTACATTTCCAAATATACCTCAGCACGTTTGAGGAAGTCATGTGACATACATGAAGTCACGTGACTTGTAAACCAGGAAAATTTTGACAAACTCATGATTCGTGACCCAAATTCAACACATGGTCTCAAACACGTTGGCAAATTGGTTAATATTAAAATCATTTTTTCTAGTACTAAATTATTTATTAGCATATGTTGCATTCAACTGAGTTGTTTTCCAAGATTTCTCAAAATACGGAATGAACTAATGATAACTACGACTTATACAATCTATACATCGATACCCGGATTGTGGAATTTCCCGACCTTGTTAAAAATAGTAGTTTATAAGTAGACATAACTCCTATAAGTAAGTTTTAAAATAGTAGAAATACACGATTCCACTCTTGCGGATAACGATGGCACAGTGGTTATATTTGGTGAGTATTATTTTTAAACTAAGACTAGTACTTGTTGTTTTCCCACAAATAACGTATTGCTTTGCCGTATTTCAAATGAAAACTGTCCACTTTGCAATATCTGTGAACGCAATATAGATTGTTACAAGCAATAGTTGCCAATCGCTGCCTCTTCCCCCGCTAGACTAGGAGAATACAATTTCCATCTTTGCCACTATCGTATTTAGGACAAGAATGCTATTAATTGTGCAACTTCAAACAACTGTACTTGCGTCGCCTTGAGGTAATAACGTGATTAGGTGATAACCTTCACCACCACCTTTTATTTTCAAAATGTTTTGAAATTCACGTTGATAATGTGAGCCCTACTAAATTACACTGATACACATACGCAGCCATAGTATAATTCAAAAGAATCAACTGCTCAGTTGTTCCAATCTATTGTAATGAATGCCTAAATTATGGACAGGTTCGGACACATCAGCTGACACATCAGTCTCTTGTCACGTGAACTTTGTATCACAAAAGTGTTACATCCGTAACATTAGTTTGTTACATGAAGTACCACAGTCATCACACAGCACGTTCGAGCATGACGTAATGACTTTAGCAGATATCACTAAGAAACAAATGATAGACAAGTGATACTGGTGTAGTAATTTAATTTGAAATCTGAATTAAACGACGAAATGGCATTCGTACTACAATCCTGTGATACGGGCGTGGCGGTCATCCATATTGGATTTTTGGTGATATATTTGTATTACGTTATACATTCACGTATTCTGATTCCAAAGCTCACACAGAAAAACTCGACAACTAGTTCCGTGCTGAACACTGACCAAGGGTGAAAGAGCACAGTTTATTTGTGGTAAATTTCCGAAAACATCAGTAGCCAAATTTTCATTTCCTGGAAAAAATAAAGATAACGTACATGGGAGTCGGTAATGGTGTATTTTTAACTTAATTCACATATTTGTTCAACAGGTAGTGTTGGCGATTCCTTTCTCAGCCAAGATTATCGAAGCTAAACCCATTGAAGAATGTAAAGAACCAGTGATAGGAAAACACTCTTCGAAATCTTTGTATCCATACACGGACTATTTGGCCATAATGCCTTTCCCCGTAGCTGACGTACCAAAGGGCGTACACACACAGTCGTCTGCTGTTCCACCAAGAATATATCGTAGTGATAACGGTATGATGTTTGTATCCCCACAAGAACGAAGCAATTGTCCTTTCTATTACACCTATGAAGAGGACGCTGACCGTATTCCAAGGACTTTGGCCCACGCTACATGTTCCTGTGACAAATGCATCGGAGAAGACGGAGGTACGAGCCCCTTGTATACCTGTCAACAAATCATATACCCCGTGCCAGTGATGAAGCGAAGTGGGTGCGTCGATGGTTTATTCAAATATCACTTGCAAGTTCAGGAGGTTGCCGTCTCTTGCGCGTGTCTGCGACCGAAAGAAACTACCCATGTTCGAAGACGGAAAAGAAAACACCGCAAAAATAAATCGAAAGACGTTCTCCGTGCTCTCTCAATGAGATAAAGACTCGAGGCAGTCAAATAAACTTGTCATACGCAATGACACGTTTACGGGGTCATCGAACGAATAAGGGAAGGATGGGTTTATTTGAATTATCTATATTATAATCAATCTTTTTAAAATAACCAGAGATTGTATTTGTATTTATATTATATTCAGTGCGTTTTATGACATGTATGCTACACTTCGTATCGAAGGTTGGTGTGATTATACAATTGTTACGATATCGTGACGTCATCGTATGCCACGTGGTGTACTTTTTTTTATTGTAGTCATTACGAAATGACCGTATTTTTTTGAATAGTTGTTAAAACTCCATATATGAAAGAAAAAACATATTGTAATTGTGAAATTTATTATATAATTGAATTGTTTGCATCGTGGCATAAATTTACGAATCCCTGTTAATAGGAAAGATAATGTAATTGAGTACATTTCATATTTTCTACTAATAACAGTTAATAACTGCTTTGCAAGAACCGGTCGTCCGCTAAACGGAGATAAAATAACGTTATTAAATATACATGTATGTATAAGAGATTATTACGAGGATACATCAAAGTATGCCTGAAGACAGTACAGCTGGATTATCGACCGACGCGCGGCGGAGGTCGATGCGCGGCGTACTGTCTGAGTGTATACTTTGATGAACTCTCGTAATAACCTTATTATTATACATCTTTCCACCAAGGATACGCCATGGGAATACCGAAATCCAAAATGTTTAGAACAGAATCAACGAAGTTCTTTGTGTGGAGTCCGGTGAAACTCTGGTGGCAGCCAGTTTTTTTATTAGAGGTCACGTACGTGCGTAATCATTCCATATTTGGAATTCGCATTTCCTAATATGGTAGGATGAAAATACCCCGTAAAATACCGCAACATTACGGCACGCTGTATCTTATAGCGTTACGATGACAGATGTATAATAATACCTGCTAATAAAACAACTTGTGGGAATTGTTGTCATAGAAGATTTAGTGTTAGTGCTGATCAGTGAGTTATGTTTGTTATGGGGAGGTCACATGCTGGTTGGCGACACCGCCTATGGCGACGTAGTACGTAAAGAAGCAACGTGGGACAACTTTGTGTATGTTTGAGTATAATATATTGGTTGCAAGCATATCAGCTTTCGATTGATAAAATATTAAAATCATTAGTACGCATGCGCATTACGGGTTTTCCGTATTTTCGTTGAGCAAAACGAAATCATAAACTAAAATAGAGTTTTACAACATGTATAATCTACCGAGCTTGATGTCAATTCGGGATACGACATGCCGACTAAAAAAATAATCAGGGGTCGTTAATTTAGACCAATCACCATTGATATGATTATTGTACCAATTACAATTGAGATTAAGTTTCCCCGACAGTAATCGAAGCTCATTTTAAGATATATAATCCGTATATAATCTCATGTTTATTAGAAGTTTTGTTTTCTCTACTTAATACACGTTGGTTTCTACCTTGTAATGCTTTGTTTGCTGCTGTGTTTTTTTGTTTGTTTTTCTCAGCGTGTAAAATCGAAAATATTTATTTAAATATGCCCAAACTACTCAAAGTTATAATCAACTCCGTATGTTTGATATTACATGGACATACTAGATAATATTACGGAGAAATCAACGTCGTTCAAATCGACCACTGTGTTATTTGCTTAGCCGTCGTTCGTTGCCTGGAATATAGTAAAATACTACTCCAGTTCCGCAGGATAGTTGAGCAGCCTCAGCTTCGTGTCACCTATTAACGTCTCTAGAGGGCGCGATTCATATGAATGGCGTATTACATACTAGTAGTCATTTAATGTATTGCTTTTTTTAATTGTGAAGACACAATTTAGATGCGTTGTTTGTTCAGCAGATGACACGTGATACTATTTAAACCAATCAATGCTGTGTGTATGAATAATTCTAACACCATTTACATATTTGTATCATTTATGCTATAAAGCCGATATCGGACCAAATAATAAAATAAGAATAACATTAACAGAAAATACTCAAGTTCATTTTTATTTCTTATAGCAAGTATTTTGTATATTGATTTTAAATACTATTCAATCAAATCCCCACCTCTCCGCAAATGCTCATATATGCACAAGCGAAACATTTGGTGAACACCTCGCTGAAACCTTTGTTGACAGCAAAGCTGCAATGCGTAATTTGAAAAGCAAAAAAAGTATGTTCTCGTTAGTAATAAAATTAATGTAGTGTGGTGTATACCGTATACCGTATATATAACCAATATATGTTCTCCCATGTGTGAGACTAACTCACTACACGCTAAAGCTGAAGAATGAATTTGATATTTTTGCACACACACAAATGAGTTGCGCCCTCTGGCAACAAAAAGTTGCTGTGACGTCGTGTGTGAGCAATGTCGTTTAAATATACCATTGTGTTCGGTGTGTTGTCGTTAATTTATGGAATATTGCAAAATAATTATTGTATTTTTTGTCTCAAAAATATATATTTTTTGGAAATTAACACAGAATAAATTTAGATTTCACTTAGGGTATTACGAAGTGCGCGTTATCCATCAAAAGCGTATTTTGATTTGATCTAGAAGGAAAAACCGTGTTTTGAATATTTGTATTTGTTTTCATTATTCATTAACAATAATCATTAAAATTATCCATTTCATTAATTTGAAAAAACAATTACAGATTTTTGCTTTCATTTAAGAAAATTTATGCGATATCTGATACACGTTACTTCAGCTAGTAATTGATACCAATCATAGTCACGTGCATCTTTGTTGTTTTTATTTATTACTGTAACACAAAATGTGCGTATGCAAATTAGTACATCGTCACTGCTACGTTGATATTCAAAAGAGTAAACCTCACAGTCGACGTCTTTATATGTACAAGTGCAATTAGCAAATATTTGTATCATATTACAAAAAATAAAATTGTCTACTATTCGAGGAAAGAGTTCGTTTTGTACCCCCATCCCTAGCCATAACCCTTACCATACCCTCCAGCACTTCTCATTTAATTGTTCATACCCCTCCTAAGGTACATCTATAGTAATCTAGAGGGGCATAATCAAATGAATTGGGTAACTGGAAGTGAGTGTTAGTGTTAGGGTTAGGGATGGGGGTGTACAAGAGGAACTCTTGCCCTATTCGAAAATGGCATTAATGCCAGTTCAAATTGTAGTTTTGTGTATACATTACTCATGGTTTGGTGGCTGCAGGACATACGCTACTCTCTTTTAGAATCATTGGCTCTCAATTATGTCTTCCCTGCGTCTCGTCATTTACTTTATTGGTTGTTTATCCGACCAATGCAGAAAAGGCACTACAAATACCCGAACAAATTCATTTTATAAAAAAAACGTATACATTTTTATGAAATGAAGTCACGTAAATGTATGCAAATCATAAATAGACATTTCATATGTCATGATATGTGATTGGAAATGTACTCTGCACGTGAACTACGTTATACGGTACGATACAGGCAGGTGACGCCCATAGACAACATGAACATTGCCATGTTATCATTTGACCAACACGGCGCTAAACGTGGGGATACGCACTTAGCTACGTGTTATTCAACACAACAGATATGCGGGGTCAGAAATGACTGTTAAAAAGTCACCTTGTCGTATTGTGTTGGTCCGAGTCGATCCATTAATATCCCGTACACTTCAACAAAGTGACACAGCCAAAAACAATAATACCTTAGCTGCTCTCCCATAACACAAACTGGTCACTATACTTTCATCAGTACTTTCGTTCGTTTTCTCGCGTGCGTGTTTTTGTGTTTCAGTATAATTTGTTTCCTCCTTTTCTTGTTAGATTAAAATCCTCAGTAAAAGTTGTGATATATCCAACTGCGCAAAACGCGTACTTGTTATTTTTTGGTCTAGAATTGAATCAGTCCAATTACCCATATGGATTACAATGAGGTGGAAGTGCTCACTCGACATACACTGTACTAGTACTTGTGTTACCAACCTTCATGAAGACCTAGTTTCGATGTTTTTTTCACGTATTTGTCATGAATTAGTTTTTGCGTATCCGTTGACCGACTTGTTTAGCTGATTACTATTGAATTGCTGTGTGATATCTGTCATCGTTTAGGATCATGCGAGGTCCTGGACGGAACTTGACTCAGTGATTTGGAACTAATTACGATATAACCGTCGCTATCCGGACCGCTATTTCTGACAGTTAGTATTCGCAGTTAGTAATATAGCGGACGATTAATCAGTAGATATGACGTGTCCAGTACTTAGTGTGTGCAGGTCGAATGTGTGAAAACCATGCCTTAGAGATTTTAAACTGCTTTGCAATTCGTTAAGGTTTTGGAAAGTGAATAAAGTTGTTTTAGTTGGTCTTGGCGAGAACACCACGAGAGACGCAGTCTTGTCTTGGGTCAGCCTTGCGATAGTCTTGGGGACTTTCCCCCAGGGCGCTGTGTCTTATAGAGTACTCGACTGACTGACTAAAGACGAGAGTTGAAACGTATTTCGTTGTGTGCGTCTATTTGACTGTAAGGTTTAAGTGACGTTCCCGGTCCGGTACCTCAAGCAGACGAGATATAGAGACCAGACGATATTCCCCCATGACACGGGTTGGAGAACCTCAGAGAAAAGGTTTTCTCCGTATGATATATTCATATTTTGACAGGTTCTGCGGTGTAACGAATTGCCGTGATCAACAACACCAACGATTTTTTTAAAAACAAAAATGTTTTGATTACCAAGTCAATGGTCATCACAGAAAAACTAGGACATCGTAATGAGTTGTAAAACTCTCATAAACGCTGTATTTTTTTTGGGTCTCAAATTTATCGTTGTATTTGTATTTAGATATGCGCCCTCTGTGTTCACTCTACTAATTCCTGTAACGTACCAGCCAATCAAACAGTTGACCCGAGATGACAGTATTCAGGAAATTACTCTCGAAGATATTTAAACGTTTAAAATGATGCTATATATGGTTATTCAAGTGTATGAAAAAAAAATATGTGATTTACGTGAATAGTC